CTGGGTGGCTCAGTTGGTTAAGCGACTGCCTTCGGCTCAGGTCATGGTCCCGGAGTCCTGGGATCGAGTCCCACATCGGGCTCCCGGCTCGGCGGAGAGCCTGCTTCTCCCTCTGACCCTCTCCCCTCTCATGCTGTTTCTCTCTCTCTCTCAGATAAATAAATGAATAAAATCTTTAAAAAGAAAAAATAAATAAATAAATAAATGGATCACAAAGGAGCCCAGAGCGGCCAATTCCAGGCCATGAGTGCGAAGGGCTGACAAAACCGGGCTCCCCTGCACCAGTCCCGCACGTTACCTTTCTGCTCCTGAGCACTCCGTTATGATCTTGCCGGAACAAACTGCTGGTCTTGTGTGAAGCTCCTGATTCGCCACAGCCAAGAAGAGGAAACTTTGGGAGCTGACAGCATCGGATTTGGGCTCCAGGCTGGGGGGTTCTGAGCCCAACACCTGCAAACTCCCTGAAAGTATGTGCGGCATTGCGTATCCCATGTGCGTGTTGTTGGGGACCGTGAGTTTCATCACAGTCTCGAATGACCCGAGGGGGCGATTGGGGTAGCTTTGAGGGGGAGGGAGGCACAAGCCACATCAGCTGGACCGCAACCCCAAACTCCTCTGCTGAGAAGGAGATCCTAAAGATCAGGGCAGAAGCCAAGGGAGTAGAATAGAAAAAGAACAGGGAAAATCAGTGAAACCCAAGGATTGTTCTTTGAAGAGATTTTGAAAAAAATGACAAAAGTCTAAGCAGATTGACCAAGAAAGAAAGATGACCAACATCAGGAATGAAAGAATGGCTGTCACTACAGACCCCAGAGCGATTAAAAAGGATGACATACTAGAAACGACTCTATGCCCATAAATTCCAACTCTGCCCATAAATGGAACACCGCCTTAAAAGACGCCAAAATGAAAGCTTGCTCGAGAGGAAATAGATAATCAGCATAGTCTTGTATCAGAGAAAGACCTGTAGTGAAAAAATGTTTCAACAAAGACGATTAAGACCTAGACCTTTCAGTGGTGAATTCCCACCAAACATTTCAGGAAGAGGTATCATTGGTTCTAGACGATCTCTCTCGTAAAACAGAACAGGAGGGTCTGCTGCCCGACTCAAATCCCTCTGGTGCCTTCCATTGCGGGTGGCTGCTAGCTTACACCCCAAATGCTTGAAATCTGGGTGTCTGTAGGCTTCACATTCCTTCACAGAGCCCACCCCCATCTCGTGATGGACAGGCCCCACAGAAGGGACTCAGGACATGTTCGGTGACCATTGTAGAAAGAGTCCTCGAAGGCACCATGTCAGCTCAGAAGCCCTCTGGGTCACTCGATGGAGCACAGCCCCAATCAGTTTGATTTCCTTTTCAAAACCTGTCACCATGAGAAATTGTCTCGTATTCTGCTTTACCCGTTTTTCCTCCGTCTCTGGCACTAGACTGGGAGCTCTCTGGGACCAGGGCTGGATCTGTCTTGGTCACTGCTGTGTCCTCGGCAATGAGAGCTGCGTACCACTGGCCACGTGTGTCCATTAAGCTCTTATGATGTGGTTGCCCAAACTGAGATGTTCTGTGTGACTACACACAATTTCCAAGGCTTTGCATGAAAAGGTATAAACGTATACAATACCTTGTTAATGGTTTACATTGATTGCACAATGAAAGGACAATCTTGGATATGTTAGATGAAAAGAAATATGTTATGAAAATGAACCACTTCACACCCACAGGCATGGCCGTGACAAAAACAATGGACAATAATAAGTGTTGACAAGGGCGCCTGGGTGGCTCAGTCGTTAAGCGTCTGCCTTCGGCTCAGGTCACGATCCCAGGGTCCTGGGATCGAGTCCCACATCAGGCTCCCTGCCTGGCAGGAAGCCTGTTTCTCCCTCTCCCACTCCCCCTGCTTGTGTTCCTGC